CATGAATATGTTTAAGAACTTTCATTGGTATTGCAGAAATATTTTTTAGTTATTTCGCTTGAGTTCGTGGTCGCACAATAATCACCAAAGAAGAAATGGACATATTTACTTCAGTATTCTACTGTCCAGGTTTTCGTTTAGGCAACAGTACACCTACCTTCCCCATGGACGTCCAATTATAAAGATCATGCATACACTTACATTAATAGATGCAAACATCTTTTGAACAGAACACATTTCTAGTTGGACGTAGTTAGCAAAAAAACGTTTTGGTACCCAGAGTATCTCTTTATTTCAATACTAAGAATATGCTGTACACTGTGACAAATTATCATTCACGTGTTGCCTATCGATTTCTGTTTGGGTTGAGAAGGAACTGTCAGCATTCTGAAAACTACAAAAAGGCGTCTTGACCAGTTCCTTTTTAGCTTCAGAATATTATCACTGGCAATTAGATTATAACATAACTTGGAATGCAGGTGGTCACTTTTAGAAGCTTAACCTTGAGACTGGGGAATAAAATCCCTAGTTCTTTTATCAGAAGCATGTGCAAGTTTATTATAGTGAACTGTTCCATTTGTTTTAGAACAAGTCAGATGAAAATGATTCGTAAGGATTTCTCAAAGTTTATCATGTGGGAAAGAATTCAGCATTTCAGTATAGTGTACGGTACCCTTTTGATGTCAGTAATGAAAACAGAGAATAATCCATGATTTCTCCTTTTGGCAGACACCGTTCATTGAAGCGCTCTAAGTAGGCTTTATCTTTTTGCTATCAGCTGTTGGTAGGTAAGTTTGCAAGATTTTTGAAATCCACTGTAGGCACAAAAGAATGTAACACCTAAATGTGTTGTAATTAACAAGCACTGAATTCTTAAAAATGTGAATAAATCAGAAGAGTATAGAAGTCAGGATTACATACGTTGAAGAATTGTATTGTATTCGGTTAACACAATGGACAAAAAAAATGTGACAACTGTCCTGGTGATAAAGCGTCCAAGAAAGAAATTGGAAATTTCAGCAAAACCAGACAATTATTGCCCTCATCATGAGTTACAAGATATTCTCTACTACATTTATCTGATGAAACGTGGAACTAGACAGACAAGTCATACGTGTCAGTCACTTGCAATGCAAACATCGAAGATTGCGCGGTTTTGATGCTCTTTTAGTGTGAAAAAGAATAGTGAACGGAAACGATCTAATCTCACAAACACTGTGGATATACTAAAAAGTGATATCTTCCTTTTCTTTTCACAAACTGATGACACTTTTGATATTATGAAAGAGTTAAATGCCATCCCTCTAATACACTTCGGGACCCCTCAAATGTTGCAGATTTCTCTATCATTTTCAATTCAATGATATCTGTAAACCGGCTTCTCTCATGTTAAATTCATGATTTGAGGATGAAATATTTATTTATTTATCTCGGTAATCTTTTAAGTTGTATAGTAATCGTCAGTCACTCACCGTATTACATCTTTTATTCTTATCTCTACAGGCTACATCAGGCTTTAAATTACAATGCATAGTAATAAGAATAGGCTGATCCTACAAAACAGAGAGGTTCATAAGGTCGTCTCCAACAGTCAGCTTCACTTAGACAGTAGTTATATGATTCAACTATGACAATCTTCATAAATCTTTCGTCGCCATAACTATTAGGATCGCACATGTGTGACTCGACAAGTTTTGCATAGGTTCAGCTCACTAATACGGCTTGATATAATAACCTTGTAGTTGCATTGCAGTAAATATCTAGGCGATGTTAAACTAGGATATGTCGCACAAAAAATAAGTGTGTAAGATTCTGGCTGCCTAAGTAACATAAAATGTCTTTCATATAGTTCTGTTGTTCTCATTTCGTCGGTCATAGTCAGATTTCCAGCAACGAAGCTATGTTCAGCTTCTAAAAGATACATAGCGTTTCTTATCAGTCCCTCAGACGGTGACTATAACTCAAACGTTAGTTCGGTAGATGCAATCGGCAAGAAGCTCTACATGCCCTCGATTGCATTCTCTTCAGTACTCATCAACAAGGCGTGTCTACAACCTCTGCGGAAGTGATGTTCCGCCTGAAGTTCAAGTTCACATGATCGAGTGCTGCAATCGTAGACGTTATCACTGAACTATTTGAGCCATGACTGGCCTCCTTTAGTAACGGATAACGTACACTGATTAGTCACCAAATGGTAATCAACTTCATGCTGTCTACTCCTATTTACTGGATGAATTCTATCTACCATTTTATAGTTTGGTCACCAGGCTAGAGTACTAACCATCACAATGTACTGATGGTTCGTAAGATGTACGGATCTTCTATCCATTTCTTGTATGATGTTGAGTTGTCACATTCCTTAGCTATCCTATACCCGAAGGAGGGATATTTTATCAATTAAGACACTGGATCTTTTAGTTAAATCATGAGTTAAAATCAAATTAACTTCAATAACGAAACAGAATATTACAAATGTTTACATCCATGGGAAATGCACACAAATCTACAAATAGCTATAAAGCATATCACAATCAAGAATGTGATCGAATGTTATCATCAATGTCGAGTATTTTGCTTGACATATTTCATCTTTATATTCCGTACAGAAATTTATACGCAAGTATACTCAAACATGCCTGTATACACATATGTATTGAAGTGCAGTAATAAGTATCTCATTCGTAATACAGTATCTTATCTTCTATGAATACCTTTGTATACGAGTATTTCTTATCGAATTATCTGGAAATCTAAACACTAAACAAAACTTACATCATCTGGATAACCTTTAATGATGACAACAGGAATCTAACGAGTCATATATATTACAAATACTCAGCATTACATTATTTCTCAAAGAATGAAACTATACTGCCAGGAAATTCATTATGTAATAGGTAAGAATTACTGGTCCCAAACATTCAGTTGAATATCTAACCATATGAAAATTAATCCATCCTTGAATTGCTCAAATTTATGGATAGTCGCAGTGGCAGCAAAAATCCCGACAAACATTTAAATCTAATAAATCAATTCACCTGTTAACTCTAAGGGTAACATATGCACAACAATGCTACGAAACAGACCTCTCTAGTACATCATCTAACAGTGAATATACCTCCTTGATAATGCTGCATACTTTGACGTGAACAGTATGTAAAAACCCACTGCCATTGATCTACAGTTCTTCAAATGTTTATTACTTTTCATCTTAACATATTCTAATGGGGTATATCTATATTTGCTGTGAACGGTATCACTCGAAGAGTGGAAAATGCTCGGGTATAGATATTCACTTAGATTACATGCTTAGATGAATACTTACTGATTTCTGAAATTGTCACATTGTGTCCTTCTGGTCTCTGATGGTATAAGCATACGAATTTATGACGAAATAAACGGTTATCTGGCGTAAAATAGCACTATGAAGACAAGTCAAGCATCTTGACTGCTTGTGATGGAAATTTATAATTTTGCGAGCTATGATGCCACCTATGGGGGGGGGGAAAGAGTATAACCGAAAACGATCTAAACTTTAACACTCTGTATATGCTGAAAAGTGATCCCTTCTTGTTTGTTTTATAACTAGCAGAGTCTCCTAATTTTTTTTTAATGGAGTTTAATGACCTTCTTTCTATACTATTCAGGACCGCTAAAATCTTGTAGATTACTCAATATATATCAATATGATGATGCTTGGTAAACTGCTTTCTGTCATAGTAAATTCATAGTTTAAGAATAAAATATTTATTATTACTACTATTATTATGCTTGGAAATGTATATAAGTAGGTTAAAATAATTTTTTCACAATAAACTAGTGATATGAGCTCAACTTCATCGACTTTGAGAAGGCCTTTGACAGCGTCGACCGAGAAGTAATTTGGAAACTGCTTCAATACTACGGAGTACCGCAAACCTTTATCCGCCTCATTCAACAACTATATGAAGATGCCACATGCCAAGTAATTCACAGTGGGAAGCTCAGTGATGCTTTTGAAGTGAAGACAGGAATGAAACAACGCTGCCACCTACTATCACCCATGATATTCCTTATTGTGGTGGACTGGATCATGCAGCAAACAGTAGGCAGCGAGAAGAGGGGGATACACTGGACGACGGAAAAGAACCTAGAAGACTTGGATTTCACCAACGATGACTTGTGCCTAATGTCACATAAACTTGAAGATCTGCAGGCAAAAACTAACAAGTTGATAGAAGAGAGGCAGCTAAGACGGGACTTCAGGTGAATATAGAGAAGACAGAGGTGGTGGTGATGAAGATACCGCACCACCACCATCAACAACAACAACAAACTCCAATCACCGTCAACGGGAGAAACTTGAAGGAAGTAACCTCCTTCACTTATCTAGGAAGCATTGTTCCAACTACAGGCGGGACGGACGAGGACGTCAAAGTCAGAATTGGAAAAGCAAGACAGGCGTTCATTAGCCTGAAACCAGTGTGGAGATCTTCTGCACTCCACTCAGCATGTGGAACAAGATACGGATTTTCAACACCAACGTCAATCAGTGCTTCTATATGGTTCAGAGACTTGGCGCGTCACGAAAGGCATTTCCAATAAACTACAGACATTCATCAACAACTGCTTACGCTGGCTCGCTACTGAAGATCAGATGGATTGCCGGAATAGTAAGAATAAGCAACAGGGAGCTCTGGGAACGAACCAACCAAGAACCTATCACCCAACAAATATGCAGGAGAAAGTGGAGATGGATTGGGCATGCACTGAGAAGGCCGACTGAGGACATCACGCGTCAGGCCAGTTGCTCGAGTGGAATCCCCATGGGAAGCGACGAGTTGGATGTCCAAGGTGAGGGTGACATGGAGGAGGTCGTGCGAGGAGGAAATGAGAGCTTGTGGGCTGTCGTGGGACCAGGTTCAAAAGATCTCAGAGAACAGATGTCACTGGAGGCGTGCTAGTGAAGCCCTATGTTCCACTAGGAACCCAAGGGACTAATAATAATATAATAATAATAATGAGTTACTTATTCCGTGTATTTTTTGATCTGAACTCTGAAGAACTTAGCAAATCGATACATTGAACATGCCAAAAAGATAACAGCAACCATGATAATAATAATGAATAAATAAATAGCCAGATTTTTCTTGAATAAATTTAGTTAAAATTAGACAGGATTCGATCTCTCAATTAAATTATTCCTCTATGGTATCAAGTCCAACAAAAGTTAAGCGAAACGAAAAGAAAGTTTTGCGGCGAGAGAAAAATGAGGATAAATATGAAAATGCTTTTTTTTTTCTCTAAATGGAATGATCATTCATCTTTTGTTTCATCCCTGTTGGGCTGTTCTATGGTATTTATCTTCCTGTTTAAAAAAAAACAAATTAAAGGTAGTAAGTGATCAATGAAGGAAGTTACTCTACTCATCTATGAAAAATTGAACATAGATTATGAATGGAAGTTAAATGTTCAATAATTGGTAAACGAAGTTCATCTACACCAACGTGATATGTATGTGTAATACATTTCGAGCAATCTGATCACATATTTACCTTTTAAGTAAGGGGGGAAATATAACAACTAACATAATGGATTAAAATTTGGAAAGATGAGGACAGAAAGGAAGGGTGATGATATAGTTGATCCTAATCTTGACAAGAAAACTGAGTTTATTAAGATAGGTAGGTGTAGTGTAAGAGCAAATTGTTTTGTACACATGAAGGTGGATTCAATTTGTATCTAGCTATTACTTCCGCAAATCACAGTATACGTCTATGACTGTTTCTGCATAAAAGATTTAAAAGCTGTTTGAATATTAATTTTGTGACCTATTTCTGTGGTATGTTTAGCTCTAGAGGATACGATAGATGAAGATATCAACTTAGCAAAAAGGAACTTCTTGGAGACGGATATCCGTTGAAGTTTATAAACCGTTGTAGAGGTCAGGTAGTACTGAAGCCAACTCTATACACGTACACATCACTCTACCATACATAGGGGAGTTGAATAGTATCATTTTGAGGTGCAGGTTAACATCAGCCGTTAGGAAAACATATTACACAGCTAAATTTATCATTGTAGGGAAAAAAGCATACTTCACCGCAAACGTAAAAACTGCATTAATGATTATATCAATTCTTACTGTGTTTACCAGTCTAGAGGTGTGTGGTCACACACGAGCCATGCATGTGATGGCGGGGAAACATGTACCCAAATGGTTTCAAAAACAAATCGATTGTAAAACCGTGATAAACGCTGGTGTGAAATGACCTTCTTCATCTATAGCCAAACATATTATAGAAACAGGTCACAAAATTAATGTTCAGTTAACTTTCAGTGTTTATCCAAAACAGTCACGGATGCATACTGAGGTTCGCTGAGGTGATAGCCAATATATAAACTGAAACTATCTTCATGTTTACAAAAACAGTTTGTTCTGACACTACACCTGCATGAATAAGCTCTGTTTTCCTACCGAAATTAGGATCAACTATGCTATTCATTATTTTTGGAGCTATCGCTCCCTAGTCCGAGTCCCATTGGGAACAACATCACCCATGGGAGATAGGTACATCCAGCTGACGAGTCCCGTATAAGGTGGAATGCGGATCCTGGATTCCACTGCTAGCCACTATCCATCATTACTATCATTAGAGCACAGGTAATATCGAGGCATCCACACAGGAGCCCATACGCAAATAGAGACCTATCAATTCGGTCCAATTAACGACGGCATGAAATAAAAACAATTAGGCTAAAAACTGTTGACATTCATCGGCAAAGTGCATCTGTATCACAAGGCAAACTAATATGCCAAGACAACTGAAATTAAGCTCAAGATATGCTTTGACTGTGAAAGTAAGATTGTTAATATTATCGAGACGTTAATTAATAAACTTTGGTCAACACTAATCACTAGATAACCAGACATTACTAATCGTCGAATCAATGAAAATAGTGTTCAGAGACTGTGTAGCATTTGTGTCTTACTATTTTGTCGATATATTAACACCTTACAACTGAACTTTTGTTTTACTATTCTCGTTTCAAATTTTTGTCGGCTCGTTTATCAATACAACATCCTGGTTTACACTTCGAAGTATTACCTATTATTTATACTGTCTGGTGACAGTGGATCGGCAGTGTCGGAGATAATAAGAAAGGCGATAGTGTATCGCGAAGTGTGCAAAGATTTGAAGTCAGATATCAGGGTTCGACAACTGAATATTTAAGGTGAAACATATCTGACTACAGTGTTGGATAATATGATAGCGAATCGACTACCCTAAGATAGTGTACTCAAGTACAGAACTTTGTCTCACAATCTAAATGGCTATTATGTTCAAGCATTCAGTACTGATAATAAAACAAACTATTCTAGCCATCACATACCTTTCTAAATATTCAACAATTTCGTGATGTCCAAATAGTTTAGCATCTGATAATGGTGTATGACCCCAGCGATCCAATGGACTGAGCTTTGCTCCACCCACTTCAATAAAAAATTTCACAGTATCTAATGCGCCAGAACTAGCTGCCACATGCAAACCAGTGCGTCCGTCATAGTCGGTTGCATTGAAATCTACTCCATGAATATAACACCTAAGTAATTAAGTATGTCCGGAATAACATTATTAGTAATAGTATGTACAGATTTTACTCAGTGATTTGACAAATAATTTACTTGAGAAGTTTATGAGTATTTCATTTATTTCATAGCGATTTTCGCTATGAATTAATGTCAGTCAGCGAACCACTGAAAATTTGGGAGTACTGAATGGTTACTTTGTCATAACATGAAACTCCTCAGCAGTGAGCAGCCAAGACCCCATTAATGATCGAACCCAAAACTCGAGATGAGCATGTTTCCATTCAATTACTGGGTAGTGTAACTATCATTGGATTCCATCCTTGTACATTTCTTCTCAATTCCAACTTGGTTTTGCCTTAAATATCACAGCTTCTCACTAGAACTTTGGTAAATCTCATCTCGAAGCATGTTAATTATGAAGTACTAGAAATATTTTTATAGTGTTGTTTTTTTAATGGAATTTAAAACAGTATTCTCTTCAGATACATCACATCCAGCTTTACTCAAATATGCATAATTTTACTGCACAATTAGTGAATACTATTACTGAGTAACCTAATGGAAAACACTTTGGCATTTCAGTCGATAAATGCTGGGTTTACTTCTCAGGTAAAACACTGTCATTCACTAAGAAATAGGTATACACACGTCATACGACCTATATAAGGAAAGACATGAGATAAGTTTTCCATTGTTACCCTCTACCCACCCTTAATATACATAAGTTCACTTATATACCAAAATTGTAACCGAACATAGAGATTTCTGAGTTTGTGGTAACAAGGTAGGAAGGAGGCAAGTAATAACTATCAATATTTAAAATAATGATAACTCTAATGAATTTTATTGATTTCAAGTTAGCATTTCCACGGAATAATATCAAATGAAGAACCGCTGTTTCGTCCTAATATGGGACTCTTCAACAGCATTCACCCATGGCTTTGCTAGGGTTTATATCCATAACCTTCAGTTCCCACATCACCTTTCAGTTCGCGATACAGTGTGACCTTCATTTAGTGCTGTCGAAAAGTACCTGTTGTGTTATATCTTGAGATGAAAGATGTCGTGGAAGACAAAGATCATGGGTGTGACCTCTGATGGGGTCATAGGTGGGTACTTCTGACGGGCTCCGTAATAGGGTGGAAAAGCTATCCCGTGCTCCCAGATCTTCAACAGTTCTCCAACTGATATCAGTCCGTAGTGAATACTACCTTGGAATAATAGAATAACTTATCCTAGTGATGATAAGAATAACGAGTAAGTCATGTGGTAATGTTGACACACACACATCAGCATAGTCCACAACTTCGGATAATAAAAACCGCGCAATACTACTAGATGAAGTATGCAGATAACCAAAGTCTACACAGAGAGGTTAAACAGTTTATTCTGTAAAAATCTGCTATTAGTTCTCTGGTTAAGGAAAGCATATGCATCTGGTCTTGTTTCCTTTAATTCTCAAAGTCTCATTCATGTGAAATATGTGAATAAGAATGCTATTCGAAAGTTTATACTAAATGCGATCAATAATTCTGTAAAGTTTGGAGTTAAAATGGCAGGGAAATCTTTGTAGCTCAGATGAATAACCTTTATTCTGTTGCATTCTGTGAGATATGTAGTTTCATCGTAGAGTTTGCTCGTCTTGCTAGACATTATCAGCTCTAACTTTAGTATGAAGTTAACTATCAGTACCTTTCAGTGAGTGATTTAGTAGCTTGCCCTGAATAAGTGGTTTGCGATTGGTTGTTCCCCTTGATTATAATGTCAATGGCTATTGGCTGTTTCTGTGCCTGACCTCATACTTTTCTGTTGTTTGCTTTTTTTTCATTTATTGATAGATTAGGTCTATGTCTACACATCTATTGATTGCTGACTGATTGACTTGAATGTCAAGCTTGTAGGAGTTCTCTGATATTCTTTTTGCTTCCTCTGTCAATGATTTTTAAATTTTAGGGCTAAATTCATGTCCACAATTATCCACGTGCATTGAAATGAGTGATGAAATGTAGTGTGTGACGTTTAATAGGCAATTGGTGTTCATGTAGACGAAGGCGAGGTGGATGACCACTTTGTCCAGTGTAGTGTTGAGTGGCTACAGTTATTCCAGTTAATTTTGTAAATGATATTCCATTTATCTTCTTTGCTTGTTGCATCCTTTGGTCTGCAAAATAGTGTTTGGAGGGAATTTGTTGGTTTATGAGCCACACCACTTCCAAGTAGTCTCAGTAATCTTATTGTGATTTCTGATATATTCTTTATGTATGGTAGGACGATGCGTTTGTTGATTTTCGCCGATGACTTTGTTGTTGATAATGTACGGGATAGGCATCTTTTGATAAAGTTTCGTGGGTAGCCATTCTTCTTTAGGGTGGACATCAAGTAATTTTCTTCGTTTCTCTGTGAAGTCGTTGTACTGCAGTGTGTTCTCGCTCTTTTGAATAGAGTCTGCACGCAACTGATTTTCTGCATTGTTGGTTTGTTGCTGTTTGTAGTTGAGGATTTGATCAGTGTGTGTTGGCTTCCTGTACACTTGGGTTTCCAGCTTTCTGGCATTTGTCCTACCGACTAAAACATCCAGGGATGGAAGTTGGTTGTTTGACTCCTTCTCCATTGTGAATTTGATGTCACTGAAAACGTTATTGATCAAATTGTGTTTTCTATACCATCTTTTTTAATGACGCCAAAAGTGTCGTTTACATAGCAAATCCAAATTTTTGGTTTAATCCCAGGTGTGATAACGGCTTCATACTGAATTTAGTGCTGATGATGTCGTCTAGCAAGATGATGAAAGCTTCAAAATTAAACAACGCAGCTAGCAGAACGCAGTGCCAATTAACATCATACACGTGATCTACAAATATTCTCCACCATTACAAAGTTATGTGACAGTATAAACATTTTAAAGGTAAAGGCTACTGTGAATATACAAGCTTTGGAAGAAATCAAAGAATGAATACATTTGCACTACTGTCATCCATTTTCAACCATGTCAACAAGAGTTTTCAACCACTGATTCTCATCGTCTTGGGGAACCTCAAACAGGCGGTAAGTGAAATTGTCCATACAATTCACTATATTCCTTCGCATCTTTAAACTAAAAATAGCCTTAGTATAGCTCAGACATATTTTGTAGAGAAAGTGATGAAGATGATATCTATCCAAATCAATCTTAAATCAGCCTAACAATGTTAACTTTTCATTATATGCATTACATTGAATTTGCAGAATACAAAACGGAGTACAATTTTCTTTCACTAATATTTAAGAATATGCAGTAAATGTAATCTCGACTGGAGACAACAAGCACCAGGAACTCGAGTGGAATCCAAAGGGGAAACGACGAGTTGAGTGTCCGAGGCGAGGGTGACATAGAGGAGACCATGTGAGGATGAAATGAGAGGTTGTGGGCAGTCGTAGAGCCAGGTTGAAAAGACTGCAGAGACGAGAGTGCAATGGAGGCGTTCTACCGAAACCTTATATTCCACTGGGAACCCAGGGGTAACAATAATAATAATAATGAATGTAATCCTAGTAAATGGATTAAAAGTTTACACAGAAAGAAATTTACAAGTTCATTTCAACAGTATTTACTCAAATATATTGAATATGAACTTTAAGGATGAGTATGTCTTTTCACTTGATAGCCTGAGGTACCCAAGATGATGAAAGAAGGCGAAATGAAATCCTGGTCAGCAGTCGAATCTGTTAGCTCATTTAGTAGAGTAGTGAGCTGAAAACCAAGTGGTTGCTGGTTTGAATCCGACCGTGGTCGATAAGAAGTCCTGACTCCGCACTCAGTGAGATACGATCAAGCGGTAGAAATGTATCGCGAATTCACATGGTAGTCCGGCAAAACCCTTGGTGATTGAAGGTGAAATGGAAATCTAGTCAGCAGTCGGACCTCATAGATCACTTGGTAGATCATCAGGTCAGAAACCCTTATGATTGCTGGTTAAAATCCGGTCACGGTTCTTATCTTCATTTCGCCTCCGCTCATCACATAGCTTACTTAAATATGAAACTAGATAGGTACATTAACAATCTGAACTCTTCTGGTGTACATCCGTAGAACATAACTAAGCATTAATCTTGTTGGTTGTAATATCTTGTCGCTGAGTCGACCTAACTGATCAATTTCTGCTGGTATATGAGCTCCTGTGCAGATGCTACAATGTTACCTGTGTTTCAATTATATATTAATGAGGGATAGTGGCTAGTAGTGGAATCCAGGATGCGCATTTTCTCCTATTTGGAGTTTGGAGTGATTGGTCGTGAGTTCGAGTCACAATGGGAACAACATATCTCACTGTAAGGCAGGTACATCCAACTGAGGAGTCCTAAATAGAACGAAACACGCATCAACCTGAATCCAACTACTAGCAACTATCCATAATTAATAACTAGATATTTGCTTGAGCATTGAATTAGCAATAATTCAATTTCATCCTTTGCGTAAACTGGTCGATTTCAATGTTGTACTCATCAAAGACCTATATTACATAGGGAAACGTTGAAAACTTGTAAATGGGTGTTTATTCCTTTTACAGGACTCTTCAGCAGTACACACCTACAACCCAATGGTTGAATGACAGTGTCCCTCATAAAACTTGATGGCCCCAGGTTCGGCTGGTAATCAGGGTATGGGTGTGTACCCCTGAGTGACCCCATACTAGGAAAAAATAGTTATCTAGTTCTGTAAATGATATATCATTCCGCGGATTACTACTAACTTGAAAATAAACTTGAACCAAATGTTTATCATTATGAACAATGTAAATACTGCTTACCTTCTCACCGTTGCTAAATCATTACTTCCAGCAGCAAATAACAATGAAGTTATAGCATCTGTACGATGAGAATCACGAGGTTTACGCGGATCAATCTTTTTATCATAATGTAAATGACTCTCATAATGATGAAAAATAAATCTTTGAATTAATTCCTACAATTAGAAGAATGAAGAAAAGTAAAGTGTAAAAAAATATTACCAGTTATAATATCGAAATCGGATGTCATTTTTTTCGCTTCTAAGAAAAAGGGTGTAAAGCCTAAAATGATGAAGGAAACGCTGGAAAAAAAATATTCATTTCTTGCTTTCATAACTAGACTCGACTGGATGATGCGTGAAACTGTGAGCAACTGTGAGAAGATGAGCACTTACTGGTTGGACAGATGAAAAGAACCCAGAAGAAGATTTGAATTTCGTGAACAATGAAGATTTATGTCTAATGCCCTATGTAGCATAAACTCCAAGATCTATAGGTGAAAACCAACAAGTTGACAAAACAAGTGAGGCAGGGCAGCGAACAAAGACTGGAGTTCCTTCAAGTGAACGTGGAGAAGACAGAGGTATAGGTGATCAAGATACCCAACCACCACCACCAACAACAAAACAACAAGCACCAATCACCATGAACAGGAGAAATCTGAAGGGAAATATCAGACAGAGCTTCTCTGTGATGGTTGAGGGAATTGGTGACGTGTTAAAAAAAGCATTTCCAACAAACTACGAACATATATCAACCAACAGTTGCCACCTACACTCACTCGATACTGACACTGAAGATACATGAGATGGATGGAGATCATAAGAAGAATAAGCGAGGGGGAACTTTGACTGGCTGGCTGGCTGGCTGACTGACTGACTGACTGACTGACTGACTGACTGACTGACTGACTGACTGACTGACTGACTGACTGACTGACTGACTGACTGACTGACTGACTGACTGACTGACTGAGAACCAATCAACCAACCAACCAGCAACCCATCGTACAATAAATATGCATGAGAAGAAAGTGGAGATGAATTGCACACGGACTGAGAAGATGGTTTGGTAACATCACACATCAGGCCAGCTCGTCGAGTGGAATCGAAGTGGGAAATGACATGTTGGTCTTCGGAGATGGGGGTGATATGGAGGAGATGGTTTGAGGAAGAAATGAAAGGTAATGGTGATTCTTGGATCCAGGTTGAAAAGACGATAGAGAAGATCGTGAGATGTAGATGTGATAGTGAAACCGTATGTCCCACTTAGAATCCAAGGAATAAATAATAATAGTAAATCTGATAACTTCCTGATGATCTGTTCACTTAAGAACTACTGCAATTTATGCGGTTTCATATTATCTGCTCAAGTTCATGTCGAACTAATTGTGAAACTTTACTCCTAGCTAAATAAATGCATAACCTTATAACAGATTAGAGTTTACATAACTCCATGTAATATATATTATGTCGATCACTTCGAATCGGTTATGAACAGAATTAGTTAACCAGTCAATAATACTTTTCATGGGATGTTTTAAAAAATAAACTAAAATACATATTCATTATTTATAAGACAACTAAGTATATAATTACCTCATTAAAGAAAGTAAATGAATGGTCTTCAAATCATTATGTAAAGCAGCGATAGGACTCAATGCTGTGCAGTGTAATAGCTGTTAGAGCATTTATGTCTTACCGGCAAAACATTAAGTCGTTTACAAACAATTTAGTACTCTCATGCTCATACCACAATTGGATATCGTGTCGACCCCTACACTATGAAATCTGGAGCATAGTTTATGGTCATTGCTCTGGCATAACACCAGACTTAATGGTCCTAGCCCAAATATGTGGTCAAGTCCAGACACTAAAAGGGATACATAAACTTACCCAATCACGTGTCGGATACTAAATGTACCATTTCAAATTTGGACAAGATTCAGACTTAGAAGTGTTCATTCTTAATCCCTCAGGTGACAGCTTCGTACCATTGGCCTTTCGACCAGGCACATATACTAATTATCTGAACCTGTGGTTCCTCTCATACTAAACACGATTACCATAGCAACAGACAAATTGTAATTCAATGATAAATGTATTCTATAGTAGGGTAAATCTAACCTGTCTCACAACGGTCTAGGCCTAAGTCACATTCTCTACTAGTGGGTGAACAATCCAAGGCTTGGTGAATTCTGCTTCACAATGATAGGAAGACCTGACATCGGAGGATCAAAAAGCGAATTCGCGATGAACGCCTGGCCCTCACAAGCCAGTTTTCCCTATCATAACTTTTCTGATGAATGGAACCAACCAACCATTAACCTATCGCTCAACAAATATACATGAGAAGAATGTGGAGATGGATTGAATTCGTTTGGATTTGACATCATGGGTCAGGCCAAGCCGTCGAGTGGAACCGATATGAGAAACAATGAGTTGGGCGTCGGAGGTGAGGGTGACATGAAGGAGATGGAAGAATGGAAGGTTATGCGCATTCACGGAGCCAGGTTCAAAAGACAGCAGCGAGATAGTGAAATGGTGACGTGGTAGTAATGCCGTATGTCCCACAAGCAGGTGAGATCGTATCGATAATTTCCGCGCATACATCGATATACAAGTACACAAATAAACGACCTTCCTAGAGTAATGACAATATGCATCGTCTTACAATAGCCAATATATGTCATAGATTTTCTTCACCATCTGTTGATGATCAAAAAGTTCTTCATTATGTAGAGAGTGACTTGTGTATTGTAGAATCGTAAACTAACGTCAGCTGGAAGATTGTGAGACACTAAATAAAAAACTTTAAGGGATCCAAAATAATGCAGTGAATACCTTTCATGCTACTATTTGGAATTTCGACATCTTTAACGTTGAATCACGTGTATTGCTCCACTAAGTAAAGTATTGTAAATACTGATTCCTTATGGTCCCAGTATTTTTGTCAATAGTAGCTAGTTGCTTCAGGAACCTGAACAATGTTGAACTTTTCACGATGTTAAGTAGTCTGACATCTCAAAATTTTTGTGATACTTTACATCATTTATTTCTTCATATCGATGGTATGACATTTCCTGTTAGTTATTATGAAGGCAACTAGGAAATAAAGATTATGATGGTTTAGTGTTCACTCAGCTTTTTTCAAATCTTTTTCATCACCAGGCTTGGTTACATCCTCAGCATTAACTTCAAAAAGCAGTGAAGTATATTCAACTGTTACGTAATACTTTTGCTAAACTTCAGTGTTAACCAGTCATGAGTTAGAGAATAAGTTTTTATTGCATATAAACTTTTCTGACCTTACACTTTACTCGGTCATACCAGCACAAAATCTGTATAAGTGTTGTATCATGCTTACTCTTAATGTCACACCGTTCTTCATTAGTGATTTGTTTGAACAATTCTCACTTGGTTGGTGGATGACCGGTTTTTTCCTGAATAGATTACAGATTACGTCTACATCCATAAGTCTTCTGACTGACTTTTCGTTGTAATGCCATGCGTCTAAAAAGTTTTTAGCTATTTTTAAACCTGCTCTTTGGAAGATCTTAACATTCTCTCTATGACCATGGTTATCTGTGTTTGTTGAAACCAAGAAGGTCAAGTTGTGTTACTTTACCGATAGTTGGTGTTGATGAATTCTTTGAAAAGTTCGGCAGCTAAACTGAACAATTTTTGTAGTCAAATCTGTAGACCGTATTCATTCTGTTTTCCTTTGGTGGCCGGTTCAGCATGATCTGTAGTGATTTCATTGGTATGTGTGCTATTGTAATCTAAAATGGACAGTGCAATCGGCTGACAGTTTCTGAGACTTCTCTGATGTATTGTCAAGTAGAATGCTCGTCGATTTCAAGTAATTCCACTATCATCTGCTCTGTTGATAGATACTCTTTGGTAACGATGAATGAATAATCATTGATTGTGAAAACTTTGCATAGGTATTTTTCATCCGCCTTCCATATTATTTCCGCTTTGTAATCCTTCTTGTCTCTGAATATTAGTACTTGTACATAACATTTATTATATACTGTAGGATGAGTGAGGTCTTACTTCAAACTTTGATTAATGTATATAGTTTTCCTGTAAAATTGTGTTTGCAAAATCCTCTTGTGCGTTCTGCTAGTGCAAAGCAGAAGATGATAATGTTCATTGACTAATCTGAGTTGATCAGGAAACAGGGACTAATGTTTTTGAAATGTCATGCAGTAACTTGTTTGCCATCAGATACTCATCTGGTAAACTTATACTTCAAGAAACTTCTCAGCTACAGACTGTTTTTCATGCAGAATAATATAAACTTAAGCGCAATACTTCAAAATCTCCTCAAAATGAAGTCGGTAGGTTTTTTTTTTCCACAACATCCTAAAATCTGACAATATAATAAACGATATTCAGTTATGAGATGTAACCTATAATGTTACATATAAAAATGTTCTGTATTTACTCAACTGTGTCAGGTAGGTTATGAGAATTAGAATCCTATTTAGCTTTTTCGATACACACTGGTGAAGAGACTAAAAACTTAAGAAACAGCTGGATGTTCCAATTATGATGTCAATATGAGCTGAGTTTGTCTGATAAGACAGGCGATAAGTTCGGCTGAAAACGAGCAAAACACCCATTCAGTGCTTAGATCACTCTGATTTATCTGAGTGTTTTCTAACTACTCAAATTGCTTAGCAGTAGTATTTTTCACTAAAGAAAAAAAATCGTCTACGTGGTATCGATTCGTAACAATATCCCTAAAAGTTATCCAAATCATTACTTGTAATTATAATATCCTTTCAGTGATTCGCTGTGTAAAGTAGTTACTATGACAAACAAGACTTTCTCTGATTTGCAAGAACTAAACAAGAGAAACAATGAGAAAAAAATATCATTATATAGGAAGATGAAAGCAGATTGGATAATATATGAATATAAGTTAGCCAATAATAATTGGTAAAATGGTATTTAATACATCTATGGCCGTTTTCTTTCTCATAGAAACAGAAATGACAACAACAGGAGAGAAAAGTAGTACTGAATTTCTCAAATAAAAAAAGCCATAGGAAATATTAAAAAAAATTAATGAGTTTCAGTAAATAAAACCTACACTATGATATATTTTTCAATATGAGGGAAAACAACAAAGATTGATCGATCGATACATAGGAAATTAAACAGTTGAATATCGATAGGATAAATCTCTAAAACACCTGCAATTCATTCCATTGTAACCTTGAAAATGTTCAGGTATTTTAAAATGCTGATAATGTTCATCACTAGAAGATTTGGATATCGCAAAACATGATAATTCATATCTAATCTCTTATGTATCACAAACTCGAAAATCTATAGGCAAAAACCAACAAGTTGGCAGAAGAAGTGAGGCAGGACAGCGAATGAAGACGGGACTTCCTTCAGGTGAGCGTAGAGAAGACAGAAATAGAGGTGATGAAGATAGCAAACAAACCACCAACAACAAGAAGTACCAATCATTATGAACGAGAGAAATCTGAAGGGAGATGACAGTCAGTGCTTCTCTGTGATAGTTGAGAGAATTGGCAACGTGTAACGAAAAGCATTTCCAACAAGCTATAAACAAACATCATCAACAGCTGCCACCTACACTCACTCAATACTGACACTGAAGATAAATGAGATGGATGGAGATCATAAGAAGAATAAGCGAGGGGGAACTTTGGCTGGCTGGTTGGCTGGCTGGCTGGCTGGCTGGCTGGCTGGCTGGCTGGCTGCTGGCTGGCTGGCTGGCTGGCTGGCTGGCTGGCTGGCTGGCTGGCTGGCTGGCTGGCTGGCTGGCTGGCTGGCTGGCTGGCTGGCTGGCTGGCTGGCTGGCTGGCTGGCTGGCTGGCTGGCTGGCTGGCTGGCTGGCTGGCTGGCTGGCTGGCTGGCTGGCTGGCTGGCTGGCTGGCTGGCTGGCTGGCTGGCTGGCTGGCTGGCTGGCTGGCTGGCTGGCTGGCTGGCTGGCTGGCTGGCTGGCTGGCTGGCTGGCTGGCTGGCTGGCTGGCTGGCTGGCTGGCTGGCTGGCTGGCTGGCTGGCTGGCTGGCTGGCTGGCTGGCTGGCTGGCTGGCTGGCTGGCTGGCTGGCTGGCTGGCTGGCTGGCTACCAACCAACAAATATGCATGAGAAGAATGTGGAGATGGATTAGATTTGACTGAAATGGACGTACACTGAGAAGACCGATTGGGGATATCACACGTCAGGCCAGACCCATCCATCGAGTGGAACCGAAATGGGAAACGACGTGTTGGTCGTCTAAGGTAAGAGTGACATGGAAGAGATGGTGTGCGGAAGAAATGAAGGGTAATGGGCATTTGTTTGAGCCAGGTTGAAAGACAGCAGAGAAGATAGTGAAGTATGGATGTGGTAGTGAAACCGTGTGTCGCACTAGGAATCTAAGGAATAAATAAGAATAATAATAGTGTGTATGATAGAAATGATGTCTCCATAATATCAGCTACCTAGTCCATGTAGACTTTGATTTCCATAAAAAGTCCTGACTGGACAACCAGTGTAAGTAAGATCAAAGGATAATAACG